CATTTCCCTACAAACACTGATTTAGTTCACTAAATCTCACTAAACCCTGTGTTCCTCAACATTTCTGGTATGTTATTTGTGAACTCAAAACCAAAGTATGTGTTTACTTGATCAGCCAATTCTTTGTTCCCATTATAAATTTCCCTGTTTCTGACTGTAAGGCACCTGCATTTGTCTTCACATATCTATAGGACATTTTACAGTCGGTTTTTGCGTTCTCCACAAACTTACCCTCTTTCTCTATTTTCCTTTTCTTAATCAAACCCTTTGTCTTGCTTGGCTATGTTCTAAACCTCCCAATCCTCAGGCCTGTTGTTTTTTTTCTCTGGCCAGTTTGTATGCCTCTTCCTTGGACCTAATACTGTCTCTAATCTCCCTTGTAAGCCATAGTTTGGCTACCTTTCCCATTTTACTTTTGTGCCAGACAGGAATGAACAATTGTTCCTGTTTAGCCATGTGCCTGCTGATTATTTGTCCTTGCCCTTCCATCATCATCCCTTTAAGTAATGTTCCCCAATCTATCATGGCTAACTTGTGCCTCATAGCATTGTAATTTCCTCTATTTAGATTTAGAACCCTAGTTGCAGAATCAACTCTGTGACGCTCCATCCTGATGAGGAATTCTACATTTATGGTTGCTTATCCTGAAGGTGCCTCACACAACTAGATTATCAGTTGTTCTTTTCTCATTACACAATACCCAGTCTAGAATGGCCTGTTCTCTAGTTGGTTCTTCAATGTATTTGTCCAGCAAACCATCCTGTGTGCACTCCTAGAATTCATCCACTACTGTATTGTTACTAACTTGAATTATCCAATCTATATGGAGATTAAAATCATCCATAATTACAGATGTTCCTTTATTGCATGCAATCTAATTTCCTATTTAATGCCATTCCCAACATCACCCATACAGTTTGGGTGTATGTATAAAACCTCACTAATGCTTTATTCCTCAACTCTACCCATACAGATTCCACTTTGTTTGAGCTAATATCCTTCCTTAGTATTACATGAATCTCCTCTTTAACCAGCAGTGCAAGTGCAACCTGCTTTCCTTTTTTGTCTTTCTCAAACACAGAATATGCTGGATATTGAGTTCCTATCCCTGGTCACCCTGCAGCCATGTCTCGGTAATCCTGACTATATCATAACTGTTTCCAGCTATTTGAATGATTAATTCATCCACTTTATTCTGAATGTTTTGGATATTAAGGCACAAAGCCCTCAAATTTATCTTTTTACACATTACTTGTCCCATTTCCATTATTTTTCGCCATATGCCTGTTTGATCCAGACCCTTGATTTTGTCTGCCTATCACCTTTCTTATTCTACTTTGTATCTTTTGTTCTTGTCCCTGATTCCCCTTCCTCTGACAGCATGCATAGCGGCAGCGGATGCATAGGTGGTTTTCTTTCATTGTTCCAATGACTTTGGAAAGTAGCTTATATAACACTATTATTTAAGTGGGAGAGAGAACGTGCAGTTAGAATCTAACATCCTGCTTAATAGTAATGTTAATTACTGTAAAGGATGTGATAACTAGGAACTAAAACAGTGATCATATTGGGAGAGTCAACATGGATTTATGAAAGAGAAGTCATATTAAACAAAGCTTTTAGGGAGTTTTTTTTGAGGATGTTACTTGTAACAAATGAGAACCACTGGGTGGCGCACTTGTAGTTTCATAAGGCTTTTGATACGGTCCCACACAGGAGATTAAACAAAATCAGTGCAGTTAGGCTTGGGAGGAAAACTCTGATATGGATAAAGAATTGGTTAACGAACAGGAAAAAGGAGAAATAAATGGGTCGATTTAAGCATGGCACGTTGTTACTAGTGGGGTACTACAAGAACCAATGTTTGTGCCACAGTTCACAACTATCTAAATGCTTTGGATGTGAGGCTAAGTTTAATATTTCAAAATTTGCTGATTATACAAAACAGTGTTTTATATGTCTGTAAATTGTGAGGTGAATGCAAAGCTTCAAGAGGATTTAGACCATCTAAGAGCATGGACAAAAACTTGGCAGATATTGTGGATAAGTGTGAAGTTATCACTTTGGTAGAAAAAGCAAGAGTGTTTTTTATGTGGGAGAAGTTCAGAAGTGTTCATGTCCAAATGGACTGGTTATCCTTGTTCATGAGTCACTGAAAGCCAGCAAGCAATTGGGAAGACAAATGTAAGTTGGCCTTCATCACGAGGGGAATTGAGTACAGGTATTTCTGCTATAACGCATGTTTCGTTAATGTGAATTGGCTGTAATGCATTTGATGAATAGTAGATGCTGTTTGGGTAACACAAACTTTCTACTGTAGAGTGTAGAGATATTTTGTATAATTAATTTCCCTATAACACAAGTTTCTATAGCATGGGGTCACACAAGAACCCAACTATTGTGTTATCGGAGAATTACCTGTACAGGAGTAAAGAAATCTTGTTGCAAATGTATACAGCCTTAGTGAGATCACAGCTGCAGAATTGTATACTGTTTAGGTGCCTTTAGCTAGGAAAGGATGTGCTTGTCATTGAGGGGTGCAGGGAGGTTTACCAGACTAAGCCCTGGAATGGCGGGCTTAGTTTTGAAATAGGGATTTAGGAAACTGGGCTTGTATTCTCTAGAGGTTCAAAAAATGCAATCACTTCTCGTTCTAACTTTAAAAATTCTAAAAGATAATGGCATGGTAGATTTGGATAAAATGTTTCCTGGCTGGTGCATCTAGAACCATGGTATATAGTCTCGGAAAATAACCACTTAAAACTGAGATGAGGGGTAGCATCTTCACTGGGTGAATCTTTGGAATTTTCTTAACCCCAGGGCTGTGGACGCTCAGTTATTGAAGGTGTTCAAGACGGATATCAGTAGATTGAAGATTGTAGTAGATTGGTGGAGTAGCAGATAGTGAAGGGGACTGTTGGAGAATGCAGCAGAATATAGATAGATTGGAGAGTTTCTGTCGGGCAGAGGATGCAGAAGCTTGAACATGCACCAACAGGTTCAAGAAGAGCTTCTTCCCTGCCTTTATTAGACTGCTGAAAGGACCTCTCTAACTTCAAATAATGTTGATCTTGCTAATGTTTATTTTGCTTTGCGCACCTCCTGTGCAGCTGTAACCTTATATGCTTTGTTTTGTCTAAGCGCCCTATGATCTTTATGTCTTGTTTGCTATGATTTGCCTGTAGTGCTCGCAAAACAAAGCTTTACACTGTACCTAGGTACATGTGACTACAATAAATCAAATCAAATCAATCGAATCGAATCGAATCGAATTTAAAAAAAAGCTCGAATGAAGGTTTAGTTTGCAAGGAAAGGTTGATACTCATTGGAAGGGGGTCTCCTATGGCGCAGTGGTAATATTCCTGGGTTCAAGTTCCAAGCGCTCCAGAGATGTGCCATAAAGCATTTAGAGGTTGATTAGAAATGTCTATGCTTATGGAGTTTAGAAGAATGAAGGAACACATTAGATTGAGGGAGCTTGACGAGGTAGATGTTCAGAGAATATTTCCCTTAGTGGAGGTGTCTAGAGCCAGAGGTATAATTTCAGAATAAGCATTCAACATTTAAGACAGAGTTAAGGAGGAATTTCTTCTTCTAGGGTAATGAATCCTTGGAATTCCCTACCCTAGGGAGCTTTGGAAGCTTGGTCATTGAATATATTCATGCCTGAGATGCGCGCGTTTTTAAAATTATGTGGGTGTCAAGGAGTGTTGGGGAAATTGCAGAGTAGAGTCGAACCCAGGTCAGTTTAGCCATGTTCTTATTGAATGGCAGAGCAAGCTTGAGAGATCTTATTGAACCCTGTTCCTACTATTTGTGCTCTTTTGTTCTAGTCCAATGTGAGGTTATTCACTTTGAACGTTATAAAACAATTAAAAGTTGTTCAGAGACAGAAGCTCAAATAAATACACAGGTACAGCAAGTAATTAGGAATTTATGTTAACCTTTATTCTAAGGGGGTTGGAATGCAAGAGTAAGGAAGCCTTTCTGAAATTTTAAGAAAGTTTTGATGGAGCCACTTTGAGTTTTTTGGAACTTGAATGAAAACTGACTTTGCCTAGAGGAATGGACCTATGGAATTCTCCACTGAGAGTTGTGAATGCTCAGTGATCAAGTATATTCAAGGCTGAAATTGGTACATTTTCAAAGAGAATTGGGCAGGATTTGAGGATCTGACAGCAAATGGAATTAAGGCCCAAGATCAACCTTGATCACACAATTGGTAGAGCAGGTTTGAGCAACCTCAAGAATCCATGTGATCTACTTAAGCTTTATTTCTTTTGTTCTTGTATTCTACAGCTTTGTCAGCGTTATTTTCCCGTATATCCCCCTTAGCTCTACATTTCAGTCTCCATTATCCCGAGATATCTGTTCCTTTTCATTACTTCTCTTCCCCTGTTTTGTTGCAGATGTTCTGTACACTATAGGAAATTTAAAATAGAAGAATTTTGTGTGATAGAATACATTTTTATCCTTAATAAGTGTTGTCCATATTGGGCAAGGTGATGGTGGGTATAAAGCAAACCAGATATCAAGTTAAAATGACCTACTGTATTTTTAAATAGTTGTTTAAAGTTGAACATTTCCATTATCTCTCCAACTCTCTTAATCTGAAATTATATAATGCATACCTAAATAGGAAAACCTTGAACTAGTTAATGTTAAGTTACAGTTGCTGTCATAGAATACATGATTAATTAGTTGTAATTTGATTACAACTGAGGAAAAAGTAATATATAATTGGTGTTATGTTTGTAAGAGGCCTTAATCAAAATGGGTGACTTTGAAATCCTGAAAAAAAACTTTTTTGAGCGCTTTAATAAGCCAATATTTTTGATTGAGCGTTCTAGAAAGGTACTTTAATGTGACATCTGGGTTGTAAATAAAATTCCAACAATTCTGCTACATCTAATATAGAATATTATAGATATTATTTTACCTATAATGTTCTCTATCCACCAAATATGCAATATTAAAGATAACATTTTGTCAATTTACAGTTCAGCAACAACACAGCAGTGCAGCAGCTGCAGCACAGCAGGGTGGTTATGAGATACCAGCCAGACTAAGGACCCTACATAATTTAGTCATACAGTATGCGTCTCAAGGCAGGTATGAAGTAGCCGTACCTCTTTGTAAACAGGCTCTTGAAGATTTGGAGAAAACATCAGGGCATGATCATCCTGACGTTGCTACTATGCTCAATATTCTTGCTTTGGTGTACAGGTTAGTGTCACCTTGCTATTTATGGAAAAGTATGAATTTTAAAAATGTATTTGTGCAAGGAATAATTATGACCTACAGAACTTTTGTGCTGAAACCTTTATTGGTGCAGTCTCATTTTACAAGTTACAGAAGCAGTAAGTTGTCTTGCTTATTGCAACTAAAATGTAAACTTGTTTAAGAGCAAAAAGTGAATACTTAATACCTGGTCTGAGGACTTTTGAATGTGTATATATTCATCAGCAATGGTGCACAGGTTTAATCCTGTAACATTCACTGTGATGAAGTTCTCTTATTTATGTGAAGTGTAATGATCCACAAGTGATTGAAACAGTCTGAACCCAGGTGTCAGTGCTAGCTAAACCATATATTAAAGTTGTACATAATTTGACGTTAAAGTTAGTTTATCATTCAGATGTTATAATGTTGGCTTGCTTGAGTAGTAAAAGTGCCATACAGCAAACTTTGTTTGATCAATCTTTGTTTTGATGAACCAGCACTTTTGATAAAACAACAAAAGTCATATACCTGAAATACCAGAAGTTTACTGTATTATTGCGAGCTCCTCAATGTCTGAGTAATCAGCTGAGAGTGAGTGAGATGGCTGTCTGTTGTTATTTTATTTAAGTTGTTATTTGTGATTTATGCTGTAAATAAAGTATATAAGTTGATTATGTGGAGCCCTTGATCAACTGGAATATTTTATCAACTGGTGCACTCCTGGTCTCATAGTTGCCGGTTAATAAGTAGTTTGTATTATGTTTGGTGCTTTTCTGGAGGATGGCAGTAATAAAGTGTACACAATTCTCCACTTTTGTTCATTTTGATTTATATAGGAGGTTTTTAGACAGGACAAGGGCCAGATGTATTATTCTGTTCTCTTCTATCCATATGCTCTCTTAAACTTTGTGGATTGTATGTCGTATCCCCACATCACTGTAGTTTACCCTTATCCCGCTCAGTTTACCTTCAGATCAGATATCTCAAAAGTTTAAGCAGCACATGAAGCCAGTTGATTCATGCTGTTAGTATTTAGTAACAAGATGAGGTTTACCTTTTAATGGTGCTGGTGAGATGGAGTGCCAAAGTTTGGATTATCAAATAGCATCTGCATTCGGCTGTTCAGATCAGGCAAATCACATACCGCACCCAACGAGTCCATGCAGGCAGAACTCAAAACGGGGTGTTCAACATTAGATAGGATTCCTCAATTGAACAAAATTTGCTGAGTAATCCTGAGTGAGCTCAGAATTACAATGCTGGCAGTCAATTTCAAGATTCAGTCATGCTTGCAATGCGCCACACGGGCATACGCTGGAAACTTCATATGACTTGACAGAACCCTCTTCCATGTGCATGCCACATTACAAACCTTGGAAAATTCATATATTATTAGACAGTCCTGTTCTTTGCAGACAGAAAAAAGACACATACGCTACAGCCATTATCTGCTTCATTCCTAAGTAATGTCTTAACCAAACAAAGTCAATTTTAAAATTTAAACAAAGTTTGGCACTTAACTGAATGTCATAATCCAATTGGTCCATTCTCTATATAAATGCCTGTACTAATCAGTCTATTTGCCAGCTGATTAACACATTTTTCTCATACAGCGCAGAAACGTTATTCCACTTCACATTGGCATTATTTTGAATATCTAGATGAATGCAAGATGAATAGCTTTGACAAAATAAGCCTTTTCTCAGCAAAACTCAAATATAACAAGTCATGAAATCTCACAATTAATTGAGACAGTTCTGTCAATGTTTAACTTTCATTTTACTGTGAATGCCATAAAAGAATAAATGTAAACAAATAATTTTAGCTTGTGAGAGGGATGTGTACACGTGAAATTTGCAAATGAGACTTTTTGAACACTTGAAATCATTAGATTCATATAAATTTGAATTGTGCCCCTTTATTTTGAAAATGTGATTTAGGGACCAGAACAAATACAAGGAGGCGGCAAACCTACTTCATGATGCCTTAGCCATTCGAGAGAAGACCTTAGGAAAAGATCACCCTGCGGTTTGTATTGCCCTTTCATAAACATACTTTACATCTGTACTTTATTTATGTGGAAATCTAGAGTAAGGTTTAAATTGTTCTTCATGTTAAACCAACAGGCTGAGGTTTACATCTCCCTTTCCTTAATGATGAGCAGGTAGGGAGGTTAAATTGTGAATCACCATTCATTTAGTTATAAAGAATCATTACACGCACACCTTGACCATATGTGCATAATCCAAAAATCATATTTGTCTGCAGAATTCCAGAGGGCTTTCATTGATTTTGTTTGATTTGTTTTTAGGTGCTAATATCTTCTAATAATATACTTCTGATAAATGTTGACACTGCTATATACTACGTAAATATGAAATCTCCACACTTTTTATTGAATTTAATTTTGATTTTTCTGATTTTGATCCTGCCTTTGATTATCTTGAGTTAATAAGATATTAGTTCTTTATCATAAGACTTTTCCTTGTAATTGTCTGATTGGTTTCCTTTTAGGTGGCAGCTACATTAAATAATCTTGCAGTTCTTCATGGAAAAAGGGGAAAATATAGAGAGGCTGAACCCATGTGTAAGAGAGCTCTGGAAATACGTGAAAAGGTCAGAAACCAGAAGAAACAAGTTGTACTGATATATTCAACATATTTTGTGCTTTAGGAACTATTTTGGTAAACCATTATCAAAAGAAGTTTTTTTAAATAGCTTGCATCAATACTATAAAAAGTGAATTTGGAATCTATATAGAGTAGATCACATGGAACCAACACCTTGTCTGACCTGCAACAAAAGCATAATTCTTCTGTTATTAGGTTTTGTATATTGACCACTTCATGCAGAATTACTGATAACAAAAGATTTTTAGTGTCTATATCTGACTACCAAAGAGACCAGTTTACCTTGTGTTTCTTTAACAAAAATAATAGGCAGTTTGTACTGTGAAGTTGGACCCATTGAGGACTAGATAAATGTGAAGGAGATAACTTCCTGTGTTATAACATTGTCTCCTCATTTCAAACTATATAACTAGTTAGTAAGTGAGGCTTATGCCGTTTGGAAATTTCTAGACCAGTAAAGGGTATGGGTTAGGACGTGCAGCATGGCAGGTTGAAGTTGCAAAAAAAATGTATTGTCTCAAAATGCCCAAGAGCAAAGGTGTGAAACTCTGGCTGATTGTATCTCTGAAATTTATCACTTGCGAACCTGGTGTACAAATACCATTGCCGTCAGTTTTGTATGTCAATTTAATTTGAAATCTAATTTAAAATAAAATCAGTTATCTTAACTTTGTGTAGATCACTATCTGAGTAATGTTTGAATCCTGTCTGCTACTGTGGACATTGTACTTTAAAGGGATATTGATACATTTAGATAACGCATTAAGGCTCAAGACTGACTGCTAATACTCTATTCACCAAATAAATGGTTTGGAGCAGTACAAGTGTTTAAAAATGCATGAAATAAATAGTGATTAGAAATAGTGATGGCAGTTGGAAGAAATGTAAAAAGCAAAATGGATGAATTGATCTTTTGAATGATGGGTAGTGTTAGTATCTGGATATTTGTAACCATAGAAATGTGTTGTGGTAATCTTGTCAAGCAAGGTGTGACTTCTTTCAATGTTCTCCATTTTACACTGAAGTACAGATTTATTCAGAATACTGATGAAACTTCATTGAATTAGTTCAGAGTGGCAGGCATGTGCTTGCTATAAGATTTTGTAATTCATCGAAATTAATTGGCATTGTTTATTAGCTTTGAATTTCACTATTTTGGAAGTTGAATCCTTCTGTAAAATTGTGTTTTTTTAAAATTTTATTAAGGGCAGTTATTTCATTATCTCTCTATATTTTTAATTTCCTAGAGCATTTCTTAACGTTAATGTGACTGTAAGTATCGTTACTTGGGCGTCTGCTGTAGCAACCTTTCATTGAGAAACAGTGAGCTGCTGAATACTTTCCAAAGTGAATATATTAAAATTTTTATGCTTGTTTTTGCAGGTACTGGGTAGGGATCACCCTGATGTGGCAAAACAGCTAAATAATTTGGCCCTATTGTGTCAGAACCAGGGGAAGTATGAAGAGGTAGAATATTACTACGAGCGTGCATTGGAGATTTATCAGACAAAACTTGGACCTGATGATCCGAACGTAGCAAAGACAAAAAACAACTTGGTAAGACTGCATGAGCATATTAAACTGTTATGTATGAAAAGCTGTGAACACCAATATGTAACATTCTAAATTCATAACGTAATATTTATCTTGGTTACATGGCAGTTAATAAACTGAACTTTGCTCATTCATATTAATTCCCTGAATTTAGATTTAAACCCTCTGTCTGTCTCCCCTTTTCTATTCCTTTATTTGTTTCGCTGTTTAGAGTTTACATTAATATAACTTTCACAACCTTAGGATATCATAAAATGCTTTCGTATCAACTGTATTTTTGATTTGTTTGCTAATGTGATACAGCAAAATACTGGAACTAATTAACATGCAGCAAGATCCCACAAACCATGATGAAATAAATGACCCAATCAAATGCCTTCATTTTAATTACAGAATAAAGATTTAGTAGACAGTAGAATAACTCCTCCCTAAATAGTACCATGGAATCTTTTATGTGCATTTGAGACTAGGTATTTTAATACCTTGCCTATGAAAGTTTTCACCTTCACCTGCAGCACACTTAGTGTAGCATCCTCCACATGGATTAAGAATTTTTGCTTTTATTCACTCGTGTGTCGCTGGCTGGCCAGCATTTATTGTCCATCCTTAGATGTGCTTGATAAGGTGATGTTGAGCTGCCTTCTTGAAACACTGCAATCTACATGCTGTAGGTTAATGCCCTTAGGGAGTTCCAGCATTTTCACACAGCGACAGTAATGGAAAGGCAATATATTTCCAGGTCATGATGGTGAGTGATTTGGAGGAGAACCTGCAGATGGTGATGTTCCATGTGTCTGCTGCCCTTGTCTTTCCACATGGAAGTGGTCGTGGATTTGGAAGGTGCTATCTAAGGATCTTTGGTGAATTTCTGCAGTGCATCTTGTAGATAGTATGCATTGGTACTGCTGAGCGTTGGTGGTGGAGGGAGTGGATGTTTGTGGTGCCAAACTATTGGGTTGTTTTTTCTGGGTGGTGTCAAGCTTCTTGAGTATTGAAACTGCACTCATCCAGGCAAGTGGGGAGTTTCTGTCACACTCTTGACTTATGCCTGGTAGATGGTGTGCAGCCTTTGAGAAGTCAGGAGGTGATTTACCCGTCACAGCATTCCCAGCCTCTGACCTGCTCTCATAACCACTGTGATATGTGGCGAGTCCAGTTGAGTTACTGGTCAGTGATAACCCCAGGTATGTTGATAGTGATGATAATGCAGTTGAATGTCAAGGGGAGTGGTTAGATGGTCTCATATTGTAGATTATCATTGACTGGCATTTATGTAGTGCCAATATTCCTTGCCACTTGTTAACCCAAGCCTGGACATTGTCCAGATCTTGTTGCATTTGAACATGGACTGCTTTGGTATCTGAGGACCAAAACTGAAAATCGCTGGAAAAGCCCAGCAGGTCTGGCAGCATCTTTGGAGAGAAATCAGAGTTAACGTTTCGGATCGAGTGACCCTCTGAGGAGTTGAGTGGTGCTGAACATTGTGAAATCATCAGTGGCCGTCTCCACTTCTGACCTTATGATTGATGGAAGGTCATTGATGAAGCATCTGACGATTGTTGGGTCTGGGATACTACCCTGAGGAACTCCTGCAGAGATGTTCTGGAACTGAGATTCCTGACCTCCAACAACCATACCATCTTCCTGTGTGCCAAGTATGATTCCAACCAGTGGATAGTTTGCCCCCTTACACACATTGATTCAAGTTTGCTTGGGCTCATTGATGTCACACTTGATCAAATGTGGCCTTGATGTCAAGGGCTGACACTCTCATCGCACCTCTGAAATTCAGCTCTTGTGTCCATGCTTGAACCAAGGCTGTAATGAGGACAGGATCTGAGTGGCCCTAATGGAACCCAAATTGGGAGTTAGAGAGTCCCATTTGATAGCACTGTTGATGACCCCTTCTCCTTTACTGATGATTAAGAGTAGACTGATGGGGCAGTAAGTGGCTAGTTTGGATTTGTCCTGTATTTTGTTTTCAGGGCAACTTTCCACATTGTCAGGGAGATGCCAGTGTTGTACCTCTCTAGGAAGAGTTGGGCTAGGGGACTGGCAAGTTCTGGAACACAGGACTTTAGCACTACTATCGGAATGCTGTCAGAGCCCGTAGTCTTTGCAGTCTTGCAGTCTAGTCTCTAACTGTTTCTTGATATCAAGAAGAGTGAATTGAATTGGCTGAAGCCTGGTGTCCGCAATACTGGGGACCACTGGACGACTCTGTGATTGATCATCCATTTGACACTCTGGCTGAAGATTGCGAATGCTTCAGCCTTCCCTTTTGAACTGAGATATCACTTGAATCTTAGATCGAAACAATGGCATAATCCAGGAGGTGCCATTGCTTTGATCTAAGATGTCTCCATGTGGATTTGTACTTTGTGCTCAGCATGACCTTGGTATTAAAACACCCCTTCATCCAGAAGCACAGCACATGTCACATATTTGTACTAAGTTTATAAAATGCCATATGCAGTCTACCTAATTTGAGTAATCAATGTGCTGTGAAAAGTCAGCAGGTCTGGTTGTTGGTGGTGGTATTTAGGCAGGAGAGGAATCTCAAAATGAAGAACAAAGTTCATGGTCTGAAGTTGTTCAACTCAATATTGAGTTCAGACGGCTGTAAAATGCCTGAGTGGAAAACAAGACACTGTTTCTCCAGCTTGTGTTGGCTTCATTGAAACATTGCAGCAGATCTAAGACAGAAATGCGAACATGAGAGCAGCCAAGTGCACTGAAATGGGAGGTGACAATGAGGTTGAGGTCATGAGTGGAGATATTCAACTTGATATTTTCATTCCCCCCAACTTATTTTGTTTTTGTATGATCTTACTTTGTTACAGTTCATATTTTTCTTGTTTATAGTGCCTGCTTTGGATCTGTGTCTCATTCATTGCCACTCCCTTTGTAATTTGTCTTATGACACATTTGGCTTCCAACCTCCTTTTAATCTTGCCCTGGCCTGCCCTTATGTTCTACTTATTCCTCTTTGCCCTTTTCAACAGCATGTTGTGGGTATATCATCACAACCTGCCTTCAATTTGGCTACTTGTTAAAAAAGTCTCTCAGACTTTTTGAGTATTGAAACAATGATTTAAAATTTATTGCATATGGCAAATCAAAATGAGACCCCTCAAGTTAGCAAGTTAAGCCTCACAACTCAACTTAGCTATTACTTGATTATTGGTGGAATGTAGCTACAATTCCAACAAACGGTGTCTCTGATGTCCAGGTTTGATCCTTCCCCACTGCTGTTTTTTGAAGTTGTCCTGATGAAAAATTCTGGTGTTGAATCCTTGTACAGTTTCTTGTCCTTTCAATATCTTGTGCTTCGCTTCCTTGTTTTGTGCTTTTTTTTTGTCTATTTGTGTTATTACATGCTTGTCACACATTCCTATACTTTTACGTCATTTACTTGGTCTACACATGAATCTTATGGATTTTTAAAATGCAAGTTTCATTGCAATTAAGTCCCTGGACTCAAATATGTTCTTGAATAAAATTTAAGTGTAATGATATGTTTTCTGGGTTTCCAGGCTTCTTGCTACCTAAAGCAAGGCAAGTTCAAACAAGCAGAAACATTGTATAAAGAGATTCTCACTCGTGCTCATGAAAGGGAGTTTGGTTGTGTGGATGGTGAGTAGATGTTTGTGGGCTTCTCTCTCCCCC